AAAGAAAACATTTGATTATTTTATCCTAAATAACTAATATGTCTAATTTAGTCATAAAACAATTTCAGATAACTAGAATATAAGTGTGGTGAAGCCAAATAAATGTTATATCTGCCTGCCATACAATGAGCTTCTACCTGTTGAACTGACCRGCTGCTGCTGCGCTTTCATCTTCATCATCTTCATCATCAGAGCASAAGCCGACATTAGGAAGATGGATTTATGACTGATCGAATGTCCACTTTTTTTTTCCATCTCTGGGTAACAATACATAAAAAACACTTTTTTTTTCTTCTCCAAAAACACGGGTGTGAAAAAACTGTGATTGTTAAAGCTTCGCTCTGCGTGGCGTGCAGCGGGAGGGAGGGAGGAAATGATCCCGCGACACACTGCACGACGTAACTTTTCTACAGCGGGAGGGGGAAATTTTGAGGTTTTATTTTCAGAATTTTTCGAATAAATGGCCCTATAAAAAAATAAATAAAAGAAATGGTTTACCTGCCTGGTTGGGCAGGCATCGGGACACACCCACCTGCCTGAATATGGGTTTTACCTGCCACGGGCAGTCGGGCAATAGGATTTGTCGAACCCTGGTCATCATTTACCCAAAATGCTTTACAGCATTAATACAGTGTCGTCATCTGTTTGATGTTTCATTTTAAATGTATAAAAACTAAACAGTCTACAMTGTTTTTACAGTCTTTGACACTTAAAGTACATATTTATCAAATAAAGTCTAATGTTACAACTAGTCGGGTTCTCTTTAAAAGCCTTGGAACCTTTTCTGTTTAATGACTGCTGTGTAATCGGTTTGCCATAGTAGAGCAGTGATAACTAGAATGTATGTGTGTAAGGCTCTACAGGTTCTGCAGGACCAAGGCTCTTCACCATCCATCTGATAGACGCCAACACTGACAACCTGCCCAAGGCGCACACATGGTAAGGACGCACACACACACAGGTTGGTTCTAGAGTTGTGTAAATGGGGGCGTGGCTAACGCTGCTCTCTCCTCTCCAGTTTTAACAGGATAGACATCCCTCCCTATGAGTCTTATGAGAAACTTTATGAGAAACTGCTGACAGCTGTGGAGGAGACCTGCGGCTTCGCTGTGGAGTGACGAGTCCACCGCCAAGTCAACACAAACACACGCACAGTTACATTTGCTTGCACTTCAACAGAACTGTCTAACATTTTTACACACACACACACACACAGAACTTTGGAGTAAACATGGAGTATGCAGTGCAGCCAAGCGTCACATAAACTTACGGTCTCTTTGCCACTTCTGAACCCGCCGAACTGTTAACGCTTAACAGAGGAAGCACAGCAGGAGGAGGTGGAAAGAAAACAAAAAAAAAGTATTTTAAAAATTTTCAAATGTTTTGAAGAAACATTTTTATCCTTCAGTTTTAACAAGCTATGATGTCATTCTGAGGAATGTCGAAGCAGACGCCAGTCGAGCTTGGCTCTCTGGACAGCATCAGCCAATCACACAAGAGCCTCCGATCTGAGACGGGTTCTCCTCCGCTCCGACAAGCTGATCGATCGACTCATCCATCGCGTCACTTTTTAACCACTGTCATGTGTGTCTGTGTGCATGTGGGAGAGTGAGAATGTGTGTGTGAGGATGCATGTTTTTGTGTGTCAGGCATGGCACTATACTGTTTAAAAAAAAAGGTAAAATGAGCCTCTTTTTTGTCTTTTATGTTTATAACTGCGACCACTTGGATCCACTCTGATATTTTATTATTTATTACTAAGTGATTACTGACCAAGCTGCTATATGCTCCACAGTGAGCCATCACTAATCTCTTAATCTACCAGAGCTGAAGGGTCAATTCTCAAGACAATGCAAGTAATCCACAAAGTGGGTTTTTATTGAATTTTGTTACTTTTAACCTTCATGTTACTGTTGACGTGTTTCGAAAGGCACAGTTACATAAATTGAAGTGTAAAGGATTTTTTTCCCCAGCTCTATTTTTAAAAAGCAAACTCGTGATGTTATTATAATGCCCAAATATATGTCTTGGATTTTTATATTAAATAACCATCAAGGTGAAAAGAAGAAATCCGCTTTAGAAATTTATCCATGACACATGTATTAAAATCCTTTTAGCCTTTTCATACACGTTGCGTCAAATTGTTCTTATTCATAATGTGTCAGGGTTTGTTTGTTTTTTTGCCCTCACTATAGCCTGAATGTTAAAAAAAAATGTAGTCGTCATCCTTAAAATTACCATAAAAACTCCATAGAAGAGAAAGAAATCAAACTTTGATGAGCAAGTAACAGGAAAAAAAGGTGTAGATTGAAGACTGTTATTATTTCAATCTGCGTTTTCTATGGTCTAATTTCACTGTGTAATGGATGCAAATGTATTGTAACTTACAATGTACTAAACATTTATGAGAAAATACAATGTAAATAAGATTATATTAAAAGAAATTAAATTGAAAGTACACTCCTTGTCATTTCTTCTTTGTTAATAACCTTTTCAGTCAATTTACGAATGCTGATTTTTACCAGAGAAATTTAGTTTTTTAGTTAACTCACAATTTAGCTGTTTGTAAATTTTAAAACTGCATTCATGCAAATGTGTCCGTATATTCCTTGTTTTTATCTTCTTTACATTGTATGGAGTTCAGCTATTGACACTGAATTAAAAACAATGTGTGGCCACAAGACAATTTTAAACAGTCATGTTTTTGTGTTCAACTATTCCAGAGCACCCCACATATATTATTATGTGTACAGTATGTTTAATCCAAAGAACATGCCTCCATGGTTTAATCTAAACTGTTTAATTTTTCATAAAGCTAGTATATGGGAGATGACACTGAATGCCTGAAGTGTGTCTGGAAACTTTTTTTACAATGTTCTTGAAAACAATACAGTAACTCCGACTATTTCCACAAGGCACAAGGTAAGAGAGGAGTCTATTTTGAGTGTTGGGCTTAAAAAAAAAACTTTTGAACAATGACAACTCCACGTGTATGTGGGACTGGTATAAATAAAAATAAAAGCAGAAAAATGTAAATGAAACGGTACCTTTATGTTTTTTAATTTAATTTACATTCATATTTATTTTTCAAGCTTAGTTCCAACAAATCATATATTTTTGTACATAAATGTTACTGTTTTTTGTGTTGTTTTGTTTTTCCTTTTACTTGTATGCATTTGTGTCTCAATTTGCACATGGATCCTGCTCCTTCCTGTCTATAAGAGAGAAGCTGACCAGCCCACCTTATTTGCATAGTGAGGCAGAAATGCATAAGGTGAAGTAAAAGCAGGAGACAGAAAAATATAACACATGGAAATAAAAAGATTTGTGGGGAGAAAGAAAGGCACAAATGCATCTACAGGTAAGAAAAGGAAAAAAACATACTTAAAACATCACAATTTAAACTGCTAAAATAAATAATTTGTTGGATCCAAGCTGAAAAAATGAATATGAAGGTCAATTAAATTATTAAACACGAGGTAAGTTCTCCTTTATTAAATTAATTGGTGCATTCTATTGAGCCATTTACAGTATATATTTCTGCTTTTCATTTTGATTATGTCAGTTCTGGTTCTCCATACACATCTGGGTCTTAAAGCTGCAACATATAATGTTTAACCCCGAGTGACTGTCATTCATATCAATATTAAAATGAAAAGAAATTAATTCAAACTTGTCTATGTTGTCCATATTAACAACCAGTAGTCTGCATGGAAATTACAACAATAATTATCTCATGGCTATGCATTAGGTTGTTTGTTTGTTTGTTTGTTTGTTTGTTTGTTTGTTTGTTTGTTTGTTTGTTTGTTTGTTTGTTTGTTTTATCCAATGTCACCTGACAGGCTAGTGATAATTTGTGGGAATTTTGGTTTTTTACAAAGTTTTATTATTATTGTTGTTGTTGTTGTTGTTGTTGTTGTTGTTGTTGTTGTTGTTGTTGTTGTTGTTGTTGTTGTTGTTG